AAGGGAAGAAAGGCGCGCCAGCGGGCTGGGTTAGCCCCGGCCGCTCCCCGCGTCTCTCCCCCGCTAGTGAAGGGCCCACACACCGGTCGCGAGCCAACCTACCATTCATTTTGTTGTGGGATCTAGAGGGGCAGAGCAAGAGTAACTCAGTCAGTTCTTTCCCGTACCAAACTAATAACTCCTCGTCTTTGGCAATCCTGCGGAGAGAGCGGTAGAACAGCTGTCCGTTTTTTATATAGGCTTCAAGGTTCTGCTCTTCCTTATCTCTGGCCGATTGGACCAATCGCAGCCACATGAGACCTTCTGAGGAACCATTTGCTGCTGAGGTGTCTACCTGCGGTTTGAAATAGAACAAGAAGACAAGAAGGAGGGGGAGAGGGACCCCCATGAAAGAATTGAAATCAGAAGAAGCAAGACCATTTCTTGTTAGTCTTTTCCAAAATTTATCTGAGACCACGCTTCCAAAAATTTGGCCCAAGCTGGACCTGTCATGTTTGTAACCAGTAGGGAAGATAACCATTCTTTGAAACACTGCATCATCATATAGATTATTTAAGTAGCCGTTTTTATATATTGATTGAACACTAAATGAGGGGATTTCTTCTTAGAATTTAGTGTTAACCTCTTGAGAGTTTAATTCTAAGTTATCCCACATTACAAAGATATAGAGAATTTTGCTTGTTTCAGAAATAAAGCAAGCTTAGATCTTAGAAATTATGCTATGGCAATCATGTTCCTAATCTTGGCTTAAACAATTAATAGCTTTTCTTTGTGAAGAACAATAGGAAATGAGAGGCCTTATATCTTCCAATTCAGGCATATGGATTTAATGATGCTTTACTGGCAAAATCATTAACATTTTTATCTAAATACAAACTCTAGGCACTAGCTAATATTACTAAAGAAACTAATATTTAGGGGATGAAGAAGCCTTCTCAAATGGAAGGCAAGTGTACCCAATACTTGTCAAAGAACTTGGAGAAACTAGTTAGTATGCAAATAGCCTCCGCCCAGTGAAATCTCCCAGAGTTCAGGAAGTCGTGTTCATCAGCAGGAAAACCCGGAACTGAAGCTTTGATTTAGACATTTCTAACGTTCCAAATCAAATTCATTTATTCCAAAAAAAATCAATTGATAATAATTTGAGTTTAATTTTCCTTTTCGAATTTTTGATGTGTTAAATGGGATTGCTTACATTATTGGCATTTTCCACAGGTAAAACCTATCTCCACTTGTCATTAGAATTATTTTTAGGCCATTTCCAACAGGACATTACCCTCATACACCTACACAGCTCCAGCGGAGACTTACCCGAAAGATATAAGGTACCGTTCTCTTGTCAGTAGACTTGAGAGCTATGAAAGCTATGCTGTCATATAGGGAAGTATGGCTCAGGACACAGGGACCAAATATAGCATTCTCAGGGATGTCGCAGGTGGTGTAAACGCTGGTAAAAATATCTGTCAGACATTGTTGGACAGCCTTGGCATCTCCATCCCAGATGCCTCGCTGGATGCCTGTATCCTCCATCACTGGAGATAGACACACAGCACAAGAAAGTGAGTTACATTAACGCTTTGACCGCCATTAACCCAGGCAGAACTGTTCAAGTGCTAGGCAGATTTTCCTTACACTTGCCTGATTTTTTGCATAGCTCTTATTTCAAAATTAAAGCAGATTAACATGGAATATTTTAAAGATAAAAACTAAGGGATACTTGTTAAAAGAACTAGAATAGTGAGAGATCTGGAGCTGACTGCTTGAGAGAAAGAAAAGAAGGGGCTAGGAAAGACTAGTTCATTTTTTTTTTGCATTACCTTGATGTTGGATTGGGTAGGTTTTGGAGCTGAAGTTCAAGGCATAATAATACATTTTTTCTTCTTCTTTTTTTTTTTTTAAACCAGCCTATAGACCTTCCTTTCTGAAAGAAACTTCTAACCCTTGGGGTAAAGTGCCTCTAGGCCTATGTATTGAACTGGGTGCCCGGGAGCTGATTTTTTTCTTTTCTTCCAAAGAGGGGAGTAGCATTAGTGAGCAGGCGGAGACAGCGGAGCATGGCGAATGGATTTCAAGTGGAGTGTCAGGGCCACTAATTTTGTGTCAGCTAACCTTTCTCTGCAGCCTACAAGAAGGGACGTATGTCTACTCATTACCATAATCCAACACTGTTCCTCTGAGGCTTTAATTAAAAGCAGCAAGCAGAGGTAATTTTTTTTTTTTTTTCTGGGCATGCTTATTTATGGATGAGAGTGAAACCCTGTTACCTTGTTATACAAGGAGGTGGATTGAATCACATGTGGCTCATGAAGTAAGCAGGTACAGGACAGGCCTAAAATGTCCCCAGTCTGAAATACTGTGTGTAATGACTGGTGAATTGTCACTCCCCCTACCCCATACGACCCTGTTTGGGCAAGAGTGGGCAGCCCTGCTTGAGCACTCCTCAGTGAGCTCTCCAGCTGTTTAATCCACAGCAATTTAGAAAGTAATGCCCCAATGGAGGGTTCTCTATTAAGCTGTCATAAAGGTACATTTTCCTTCCTCTGGACACCTTGTACAAGACTTATCAGTAAAAAAAAAAACAACAAAAAAAAACAGGTATTTAAATTTTTAAACTAGCTTTGAACTAGGTACATTGCTTAGTATTTCAGACTAATCAAAGAGTCCTCCAAGTTTGTTGTTCCATAATAATGCCATGATTGGCAATTATTTATGTTTCTTTTTATAATTAAAGTAGCAGGAAAGCATAGATCTAATTGTTTTCTTGCAAAGCTGTTCATTGTGGAAGAATATCAGTGACTTGTATTTTTGTTTTAATTTCTATTAACCAATTAACCTTACACGTGTGATTACAAGGCAGTGCTTTTTTTTTTCCCCATTCCAGCCAACATAGCCTAAAACTTTGGTTAGTCTCATTTTCCATTCATCCTCTTGCATCCGCCAAATGTCAAGTGTTGGGCTGTATCTCCCAGGCAGCAGAAATAAGGGAAAACATCAATAAAGTAGAAACTTTCTCATGCTACATCATCTATCCCTGGACATTTTTACCCCACACAAGGTAGACATCCTGATTTTTCATTTCAAGTTAAAATACATTAAAAAAAAAAAAAAAAAAAAAAAAAAAAAAAAAAAAAAAAAAAAAAAAAAAAAACATACCCTCTCAACCCCTTTTCAACGGACTCCTATTCTCTTCTTTTCAATTTTCTTCAATTCAGCGTTTTATGCCCCAATTTCTCTCTTCCTTTTAAAAATCTCTTTCACACAAGCGATTCATTGTGCCGGGAGGTCGCCCCGTCACTTCGGGCAACAGCAGGGACACAGTCATTAAAATGCAGTTCTACCTAACAATACGGTGAAAAGGTCCTCACTACGCCGCGCTAATAGCTGTCGGAGTCGCGGCGCCAGCCACCCAAGCCTCAAGCCCATCACAATAACCGCTGGGCAACAGCCTGGGAGCGCCCGCCCGCCTGCGGTCGCCTTTGCCACCCAACCTTTCACAGCTCTGTGCCCCGCTGTAGGCCGAGGTTCTTAACCGCCTGCCCTGAGAATCCGCCCCAGAGCCGGCGGGACTCGCCGAAAGCCAGTCGCCGCTGCCAGCCGCTAGCCCTTCCCTCTAGGCAGGCATTGTCTAGCGGCCGCGCGCTCCCCAGTCCCTGGCTTCTCCGGCAAAGCGCTCCCTACCCGCTCCTCCTTTTGTACAATATTATTGGCAGTAGAGAGCCCCTCAACAATTATTTTTCTCTCTCTTCTGGATAATAAGGAGACGGGAGACAAAATTTTCTACTCTTTCCACCAAACTGCCTTCCTCCCATCCCCCTCCCACATCAATGCAAATAGACTTACCAGGAATAAGGTCAGTATAGAATCTCCCAAATAAGGCCACCTGGAACCGGGAAGATGCGCAATACAGTGTTTGTTTTTGCCTATTGTATCAGTGTATTTCCATGTCAAGAGGTATTGGTGTTGCCGTCTTTTAGGCTCTTCCTAAAGAGGTAAGAGAGAGATAGAGAGATGCGGAGAAATAGATTGGGGGGTGGAGGGAAGAAGGGAGGGGAGAGAGAGTGTGTGTGTGTGTTGAGAGAGAGAGAGAGAGAGAGAGAGAGAGAGAGAGAGAGAGAGAAACGGAGAGAGTTGTACAGATGGACCCGATGCAGTGACTGACTGGCACGCAGACACACACTTTTTGTTTGCTGCACATAATCTGCCCAATGACGCGTGACAGCCCACGTCCCCTCCCTTTAACTCTTTGCTGGGCCAGGCGCTCCCTCCGGCGCCGCCTGCCTCGCAGCTTTTTCCCCTGGCCCGCCCGCGCCCCGCAGATCCTGAGCGCCTACCCCGGGTGGCAACGCCTGTTAGAGAGCGTACCGGCACGCCTTCTCCTAAAACTCGGGCCCTCTGGGACTGCTAGGAGGGGAAAATCGTTTCAGGATTGCAAAGGAAGGTACCAAAAGGATTGGAGAGGGCCTTTCCCTGTTTCACTAGGCACTTGGAGAAGCTATGGCAGAGAGCTGGACACCCAGCGCGCGCGGACCCCGGGCGTATTTCCCCGGGAGTCCGAGTTCCGTGAAAGGGAAAGGGGTGCGGTTGGCCCCAGGGATTCTCTAGCTAGTTGCCTGGGGGTGGTAAAAGCTAGTTGCCTGGGCGCCGGCTCTACAAGAGCGCCAACACTACCAAGCTTCCCCCTGCAAAATTCAGAAAGGATGCGCTTTGGTGAGAACTTGCCTCAGCCTTCCCATAACTCGGGAGATGAGGTTGGAGTGCAGGCCCCAGAAGGGGACATAAAGGTACCTCCTGGTCCCAGGACTCTGGTATGTGGGCGGAGGTAGGGTGGAGAGGTTGGTGGGAAGAGCGCAGGTTACTGGGCTCAAACAGTTGCTGGGTTTTTTTTGCCCTCGGCTTGGTGCATTCTGCGCAGTCCCGGAGGGGGTCCCATAATGGGTGCTGTTGGCACTCTGAGACCTTGGGTTTGCGGGGCAAGGGTGATTGAAAGTAAAAATGATTACCAAGATGGGCTCCGGAAAGCTTTTCACATCTAGCGGGTGGAGGAGGAGGAGATGGAGTTCTCCAGGCTGTCTCGGGAGCCTCGTTTGTGCGCTAAGCCACTTAGAGGCGCTGACTTGCCCCTTTAGTGCAGCAGCTGATGCTAATGACTTGAGGTATTTAACAGCCTGCAAGTTGAGTCTTCCACAGGGGCTGCAACACCATTTCTCTGGGTGATCTCGGGCTTCTTTTTCACAGTTCAATTCTCTACTCCTAAGGGAAGAAAGGCCTTTCAGTGGTATAGACAGTCCCTCAACTCCACCCACATACCACTACTTTGAAGTGGGCAATCTTTCAGCAATAGGATAAATCGGATTGTGTAGCGGGCTAAAGTGGAGGAGGCAGAACCACAACTTAAGGAGACAGCCTCGTTGCTGCTGCTGTTGTTGTTTTTCCTAGTTTTGAAATAATGTATTTGGGGAGTTGTCAAAGAGCAGCTTACCATGTTAGCTGATCCTCTCCCAGCTTTGAGACCCTTCTCTGGAACACAGAGGGGCACTGAGGCATTAATAGCCTGGTGACTGCAGTCCCAGGAGGCCAGGGGAGGATTTTGCTGAGGAGAAACAAGTAAGTACAAGGACTTTCCCAGGAAGTTCATTTTCTTCCTTGGGCTCTCTCTCTCTCCTCCCCCCCCCACCCCGTGTGTGTGTGTGTGTGTGTGTGTGTGTGTGTGTGTGTGTGTGTGTTTCTTTTTCTTTTCTGGTCAGTACCCAATGCAAGTTCCGAATCGCTGCCTAGGACAAAGCTGAAATTCACAGAAGAGAGGGCTGCAATATCCCCATACATTGAAAGAAAGTGGAGAATCCCTTAGTTTTCAGGTTAGCTACTGACTTTTCAAAGAAAGCTTCTTGAAGTGCAGTTTTCTTTAATCTTAATATATCATCTCTCTTATGCAAGTATGTGCAGTTTTATGTACTTTCGCTGAGGATGACTCCTAATGACCAACGCTCAGTGCAATGAGGGCTCTCTCACATGTCTGTATATAGGAATCTGGTGTTGTGCTGAGCTTCCAATTGTCTTATGACTGATTGCTCCATTGAATACTAGATTCATTTCTCTCTCTCCCTGTCTCTCCACACTCTCTCTCTCTCTCTCTCTCTCTCTCTCTCACACACACACACACACACACACACACACACATACACACACAAAGCATGGACACATTGCCCCCTAATACTTCTTTAAAGAATGGGTGGAAGATTTAGAAATGTCAAAATCATGTCTCAAACATCTGGAAAATAAACCTCAGGATTGAAGATAGTGGCCAGAAACTTAAGTGAATTCAACGTAGAAGAAAGAAGAAAAATAAAGGACAGAAGAGGCATGGTTATAAACTGCTGCAAGTCAAGACAGAAAAGTAGCCATGAGAGAGTCATGTGGTCCCTTAGAAACTACAGACTGATATATGCAAAGTGGTGTGTGGGGAGCAGTGTTTAAGAACATAATTTCAGTAATCTGTTGAACAGAACACTCCTTAGTGCTTTCTTTTGGTGTTATTTAGAGAACTGGAAGTTTATCTTTCAGGAAAAGTCATCTGTCCATGCACATCATTAAAAATTTATCTTATATATTGTAAATATATAAGCCTCTACTCCAGAATATGGACATTTAGAAAATAAAATCTAAATGCAAGGCATTTTTCTTGTGCCTGGCCTTTCTCTTATTGAATATAGAGACCATTTAAACTATGTTTCTTTTGAGGTACTAAAACCTTGACTCCAGCTTGTATAAAACAATGTTTTTGGTACTTAAGTTGAGGGTGGAAGAGCTTGACCTTTTAAATCTCAAGCTAGAAAATAGTGACAATTTTATACATTTGAGAGTGGAGCAATTTATTGAGAATCTAGCCAACAGATGCTTCCTTTCAGTTTCACTTTCTTGCCCTCTAATTAATTTTTTCCTTACTGCTTTCAGGTAAAGATCCTTAAATATAAGAATTTCTCACATTTTATGAATCTGACCTACTCTTTTTATTATGAGGTAGATGACTGACATAACAAAACAATATAGGTAAGATTAAGTTGAAATTCCTACTTGGTAAGTTTTCCAGTAATTTAAGTGGTACACATTTTGCTTGGTAATATAAATGTCCTAAATGACAATCATTAATAGGGGATAAAGAAAATCTGCAAATTACTTTTATTTCTGTAGAAATTTATGGGCTAAAATGGTACATAAACTACTTGGAAATCACTCTGCATTAATACTTACTGGAATTCGCTGATACTAAATGAAGGGTTGAGGCATTTATTCAGCCTCAGACAGTACTATAAAAATGTACCTAGTCAATAGCTTTATGTAATTCACATGGAACAATGGGTTTATGCATATATTTGGAGCTCTATTCCCTAGGATTTTATTTCCAATTAAGTGATTAGAAGGATGACAATGAAGAGTTGGTATGCTCACCTTGTTCCACTCTAGCAAGGCTCTTTGCTGTCCTGGCAAAAATACACATGTAGGAAACTGTAGTGTTGTTTTGGAAGAGAAGGCTGGAGAGGGGTTGATAAATGATACCCAAGGTGGTGCCTTTTATGACCTAAGTGAGAGGGTGGAGAAAGGGTGAGAAAGGGAAATTTAATTCTTAGTATTAGAATGGGAACACCCTTTCTCTTCCCAGGGTTGAAAAATGAAGCCCAAAATATTTCAACTTCTGTGATAAGAGGCAGGTAACATTTCCAATAATAATTTAAGTAAAGATTATTATCCTATGAGAATGGAAACATACTAATTTTCTTTTTCTATACCTTTCTAGGTCCTGGCTTACCCACCTCTAACCCTACTGCCAAAACACTACACCAGCAAAGGCTTCATTATCAAGAGCATGGCAATTCATGGTGAAAGGAAAAAAAAAAAAAAAAAAAGAGCCCATACACTGGAAGATAAGAGGATGGCAATGGAGCAGACAGTGGCAGCTCCTTCCTAAGCTTATTAATTTCCCACACGGAGGCCTCTGGAAGGGGCTTCGGGGGCTGAGGGAGGCAGAGAATAGATCTTCAAGGAGGAGTATTGCATTACCTAGCCTCACCATTCAGAATAAGGAACTTTTTAAGGGATAAACTTGATTGACTACTTGTACATGAAAGAGAGACAGAAATGATGGGCTGGCCAACTAAGAAAAACACCAGGCCTGTGCCAAAAATGTTGTTCAGAGGTTGTTGACTCTTTTTCTACCATTTTGCCTTTATCAAGAGAATGATACGTGGTGGGATTTTTAAAAAGAAACACAGAGGGGTTTGCTTGTTTGTTTGTTTTACATCTTGGTGAGTCAAGAAGAGGCCTGCTTGCTGATTTGGATAAAGAATGACCTGAGGGAGTTGTGTGTGAGGAGGGGTGCTTGTTTTTTATAAGTATACATTGCAAGCTCCATTTGGGTCTCTTCCTCACCCTAAGTATTGTAGTTGGTTCACTGGGTATTACAGGAGCAAATGTTTTCCAGCCTGGCCCTGGGAAAGCCAGAGAATCAGAGCTGGGTAATTTTGTAACCTGTGAGGAAGGACTCCAGGCTCCCAACTGTAGGGGTCATTATTCCTGACTCACATTTATCTCTCGTGGGCTTTTCCTCCTAAATGGTCCTGCTTTTAATGCTGCTGCTCCTGCAGCTGCCACTACCACTACTATCATGACGATAGTTATCTACCTTTCTCAAGTTTAAAATTTTCTCTCTGAGCATTCCCAAGTTTTACTTACACTTCTGTTGCAGTTCAGCTGAGAATGGGATACTCTTTGAAAGCTATCTGTTATCTTCTTCTCCTGGATCTGGGTTGTAGTCAACTGGCTTAATAGCCTCTGAGTATGACTTTTAGAGGGGTTAGCAAACCGAAGTGATATTGGAGACAACTACCAACAGGTATGAAATCAGTGCCTCATACTCATCTATGTGAGTGTGACCTCTGAACCAAATCCAATATCCAATATTTTGAACCCCTGGATTCTCCCAACTTTTGTAATCCTCCCCAGATCAGTGTGTAAATATCTGGCAAGAAAAGGCCTGGATTTTTGTCAAATCTGTAGGTTCCAAAGTCCCTCCTAGACTCAGACATCACAGACCAACTTTATACCTGAGTAGAAATTGTCCTCTATGTGTGTATGGGTATGGGTGTGTGTTTAAGGTTGGGATGAATGTTGTCAAAGGTAGCAATTAAAAATAAGTTTTAGGACTGTCATTTTCCTTGAATGCTTGTAAATTAAGCAGCCAGTGCTCTTTGTTGAATGTTTTCATGTAAGAATGGTTTTGAGAAAATAGTTTGTGTGAAGTCATACAGTACAGCGATTGGTCCCAAGGGAGCAAATTGAATAGAGTTATAAAGCTTTGAATGCATCTCAGTGTGAGGGGGGTTGCTGATTATAGCCGAATCTCCATCAGCCACTCTGAACTTCCTTACCCTCTGGGTCAGACTTTTTAGACAGACTCGGGATCAGGGTATGTCTAGCAGTCTCAAATTTGTGTCCAGCAGTCTCAAATGAGATTTTGAGAAGTCTAACTCTAGGCCTTGGGAATGTGACAACATTGAGAGGCTCTACATCAAATTTCTTTACACAGCCAGGAGAATGGACGTTATCCCAAGATTCAGTACCTGTGTGCCACCCCTTTTCCTCTCTGTTTCAGGTAGTACGTAATCCCTGAGTTAAATAAAGAAGCAACAATAGACACACAGCATGTATATCCTGAGCAGGCTACACCCCTTGGCATCCAGTCCCAGTTAGCTTTCTGAGGTGTGGACTGTGAGAATTTGGGCTGCTGGGGAAAAAGAAGCAAAAGGCTTGGCTTTTCTAGGAAAGTGGTCTAAGCAGGGGGCACAAATGTCCAGTACTTGAAATACACCTATGGTACACATTCTGGAGGCCCGAAGAGAGAGACATTTCATTTTCTCAAGGAAAAGAGAAGTGAGATAAAGAAAGTAAAAACAAAGGAAAGAAGGAAGAGACAGAGAAAGGATTTGAGAAGTAGATACCAGTTAGGAACTACACAGTGATGATTCACATTGCATTGAAGAGTCTTGGAAATGTGGTTCAATTTCTTTACAAATTATGCTCCCAAACTGCTCCCTTGCTCATATTGCCAATGGAATGCTTTGAGTAAAATCTATCCTTCATGATTTAAATTCAAATGAATCCCCGGCATTCTATGATTTAATCCAGGGGTATTAATTTAGCATGAATGAGGGATGTCTCCCTAAACATTACATGAAAAGCTGTTTTCAGAAGACTTTCAAAAACACTCAAAAGCTACCAATGTAAGTCTTTCCTCACTGCTAATACTTGGAAATGTAGTCTCCTAAAAAGAAATACAAAGATCAACATGTCACAAATGATAGCAACGTCATGACTACTACAAACACCTGTGGACTTACATTATAAAGTGGAGGAAAGAATAGGCAAGGATTGTAACATAGTTGTTCTCTTGAACTTGCTGAGTGAAAAGCTGCTTCCCAGGCTGATTTGATAGTATCTGTAATGCAATATAGTAACCATGATATCACTCATAATCTCCTTTTAAGGAAGTTTAAAGGAAAACTCATATTTTTAAAAGAAATAATATCCAGAATTGCTAAATAAAACACTCGTAAATTCTTAAGATCAAACATATTAAATATAATGACCTGGATGTTGAGATTTGCTAGGCCTAGAATTTAACATAGGCCTGAACAACTTTATACCTGAGCAGAAATTGTCCTCTATGTGTGTATGGGTGTGGGTGTGTGTTTAAGGTGGGGGTGAACATTGTCAAAGGTAGCAATTAAAAATAAGTTTTAGGACTGTCATTTTCCTTGAATGCGTGTCCACTAAGCATCCAGTGCTCTTTGTTGAATGTTTTCATGTAAGATGGTTTTGAGAAAATAGTTTGTGTGAAGTCATACAGGACAGCAATTGGTCCCAAGGGAGCAAACTGAATAGAGTTATAAAGAATATATTTCCTAAGTATAATATTACTGTCTAATACCTTGTGTATGATTTTGTGTGTGATAAGCTGTCCCACAGCATTATCTACATTCTAGAGTCAGTTTACTGAAGCCCTAACAGGTATATTCCAGGTAAGTGGGGTTCCCCTGAACTTGTGAAAATATCCTCTAGAAACCTAATGCCAATGCACTGAATACAGCGAGTTTCATTTCTTGCCTGGGGGACTGAATTAGCTGCTCATCCTCAAGGCCCTACACAGCTCAGTCTGAGTCCTAAGTTTGGCCAGCAAGATAAGGCACAGAAGTGTCTGCTAGACAAGGACAATCCCTGATGTCTAGATTGTGCGGTGCCCATGTCTCAGTAAAAGGTGCAGAGACAAAAGTAAGAGTCCAGAGAAGGCCAAATGACAGACTTCAATGTGGGCAAACCAGGTTTCCCTGGGAGAGATTCAGGGAGGGCAACGCCCCCACAGTATCAGGAAACGCAGACTCGGATCACACCGTTTGACTTGATTCACCCAAGAGTGCAGAGCCCTGACATGGGAGGTGACTGGGGCAGAACAAAACAAGCCATCGTCTGCCCGGTGGCGCCCTTATAGACGCACAGTGCACAAACCGTGAACTTGGGGCAGTGTGGGGCCAAGCGGCGCTCTTGGTACGCTCCAGATGCGCCCTGGGCGAAGCAGAGACAACGTGCAGTTCCCAAGGGCCCGCCACATTTCCCAAGTTCTTTAGCCTCCCATCGGGAATTAGTGCCATCATTTGCTTCCCTTTAGGTAACCACTTTATCTGCGGAAAGGCGTCCAAAGGGCGGGGCCTGCGGGAACCTAGCCCTCTTTCCACCTCCCTCTCTACCTGCCTCTGTTCACGACCTCGACCAGCTGGTCGCCTGATCTTGTCTCGCGGGGCACGAGCCTGTGTTTCCATTTCTTACTAGCTGGGCTGCCAGAGACCTTGCTCAGCCTCGGTTTTCCTCCGGTTGAACTAAAGCTGCCAAGAGCTGCCTCCCGGATCGCAGTGAGGACTCTAAGGGAACGAGGGCGAGCGCGCTTTGGAAAGCCAGTTGCTGAGCAGATGGTAAGGGATCACTTCCAAGAGTCAGGGCTAGTTTCATTTCCGTCTTGGACACGAGGTGGTCTCAATGCCTTCATTAATGAACATTCTCCTTAGAAGTCTGGAAAACTGACCCAAGAAGAAGGACCAACAATTGAGTGTCGGGCAAGCCCACAAATCCATAGGGGAACCAGGGCTGCATGGGTTCAAATCCTAGCCCCCTAGAGGTAATTTAACCTGTCTGTACTTCAGTCCTTCATCTGTGAACTGAGGGCAGTTAAGGGACACTTTTCATAAATTAGGGCTGAGTGGATACTCAGCAAGCATAGAACAACGCTTGTTACATACTAAATACCCATTTCAGGGCTGCCTATTGTGACTAACACTGCCTTTCCTTCCTCATTAGAAAACTGGGAACTGTACTGAGCACCCACTTTCCAAGTGACCCAGCGAGGGCTGAGGATTTCCCGAAGTTTCTAGGGAGAAACGGAAGGAAAGGGAGTCATCCCTTTCCTCCTTCCCAGCCCGCACCGCGCACACCCCCACCCCCACCCCTGGTTTAATGGAAGAGCTATCAGTTTGCTGAGGAAGGCCTGCCTGGTAGATTGAGATTTGACCTCTATCCTCCCATGCCCATCTTGCGAGTTGCTTCTTTAAGCCTGGTAGCGCCAAGGGTCAGGATCGCTGTGCCACGTTAGAAACGCAGGTAAGTCAGGGCTGTCAAAGGCTGATCCGGAAGACGCCGTGGGATAAGAAGCTTATGAACACGTTGATGGTAAACTCTAGCGCCGCAGCCAAAAGCCGAGGTCTGGGGGTGTACAGAGAAACCTGGGGGATAGGGCCTCCCGCGCTGACCAGGGCTCTGGGCCTCTGAGAGCGCGAGCGACCTCCCCTCTCCCGGGAAGCTCTGTGGCTCAGATGCCGACAAGGCGGATGGCCCCAGCCGTCCCCTACACACCCAAGTCCCGGAGCTCGGCAGGACGAGGTTAACTGGTGACCAGAGGCCGCAGCTACACCATTGGCACTGGAGCTTCGTGCAGGGCAGGTTCTCCCCGTGGCTGCCTTGGCTCCTTGTCCCAACGTCCTCACGCGGGCTTCGAGCGGAGCACTGTGGGCCGCACGACAGACGGGGCTGCCTGTCTCGGGGTGCCCAGCGGAGCCTCCCTCCCCTGACCCACGCCGCTTTTGCGCACGCGCAGCCCGAGCTGGTGCTTTGCGTTTGTCCCAGCCCACCGTCTCACGTTACAAGAAACTTCCCGCCCAGTCTAGGACTGGTGATCAGGTAACAGCGGTCAATTGTGGGTTTCCAGTTGCTCTTCCTTCCGAAGGATCCAAGAGTCAGTGGTTAAGAGTTTGATATTTGGGGTTTTGAACACTCAGGTCTGAACCCCAGGTCTGTAATCTCTTACCTGTCTGTTTGCGCAAATCACTTGTCGTAAAATAGTAAAGACAACATTTATTTATAGGGTGGCTTTGACTATTGCCGGTCAAGCCTGGGTTCAGATCCCAGCTAGGCCACCTGCTTGAGTTAGCATCTCTATGCTTTTGTTTCCTGTAAAGCAGGGGGATCTGTGAAATCCTGGTATTATAATACTTAACATCAGTAACGTAATACTTAAAGGGTCAGCATAAGAATTAAGTGTGATGAGGCTGGCAGAGCATTCAGCCTAGCGCAGAAGAAATGCCCCAAGTTTACAGCATCTCATTGTCTTCTGCTTTGGAATGCTGAGTAAAAAGAATTTTTAAAATATCAGCTCTCTCCTCCCACTATTTTTCCTCTTTGGAGAGAAACAAGACGCAAAGATGCTTGCCAGACTGTGGGGTGGTAGTGCCTGGAGAGTTGGAAGGAAGTACCTTGTGGTAGAAAGTTACGTGACCCGTGTGAAAGCTGAATGCTGTCCTCCTGGCCTTTTTCATTACCTTCTCTTGGTGCCAGGCTGCCAGTAGGCATTTAGGGCTCTATATGTTAGAAGCATTTCTGTGTGACTTTATGTTATAGATCTCAGGAAAGGGGGTGTGACACTACTCTACAAAAACGGACTCTGAGGACAGGAGGAGCAGAAGGATGCATCACCCTGCATATAGAGAAGGGGTGCAGCCTAGCAAGAGACCCAGAGCAAACCTGACTCAAGAGAAGTTAGAGAAGTAAAACTCAGGGAAAGGGAAGAAAAGAGAAACGATATGGACTATATTGTGGTGAATTAGGCCTCCAGTATAGGGTTGGACTCTGTATATCCCTCAAACATTGAAAATCCAATTTGGAGCCCCAAACCCTAAATTCACAGGCATCCCCTAATTATCTTCACAGCTCAGACTCTTTCAAAGTAGAGAAGCACACCTGCATCACCAAATGCCCCATCATTTCCCCTCTCCTTCAATATCAGTATCCTCCCCTGACTTCAAATGGGAGCTCTTAACATTCTTTTCTGTTCTTCATCCATAATAAAATAATGAACAATGATATTTTACCCATCAACTAAGAGAACATCCAAGAAAACATGACCTGAAACAGCATTCGAGAAGATATTTCTCTGCTTTTTTTCCCCCTGAGGGCAGAGAACGCTGATCCAGCAACAACCTGGAGTGTTTCGTAAACTTCTGGCTCTTAATCCACTATCCTAACGAAAAGGGGCTGTCAGCAAAAAGGAGAATAAGATAAAACCAATTCCTCAGTGTTCGACCCCCGGGGTGGGGGGTGGGCGCAAAGGAGACACTGCTGAGAAGGAGCCACAACTTGAAAAAAGACTGATTTTTCCTGGCCATAAATCTCATGCCTTGTTCCTCTGCCGAACGAAGCATGATAAAGTCCTTTTCCATAAAGTATTCAGTATTAGAGCCACAAAGCTCCCGCAGTCAGTAGCCATCTGCTTCTACCATAACTGCTGCTTCCGAAGCAGGGAAAGCAGCAGCAGAGAAAGGGCACCACTGTTAGGCTGCTGGACAAATGAGGAGCCTGAATAGCTTGGTTTTCCTTGTGTATCTGTATCTATAGAGACAGGAGAAGAAAGGCCGCATTATATTGATGCAACAATTGTAAAACAAAACACGGAAGAGGCATCTCAAGGGCAATATCGCATGCATCAGGGGTCCCCAGATAAAAGGGGCACTAACAGATTTATAGAAACCTTTAATTGGTTTTCAATTGAAAGCTAAAGAGGCCAGGGCGAAGCTGTGAAGATTGGCAAAGTGCTCTCCTTCAGCCCTCTGGAGGAGTGATCTATTTCAAGAAGGGAAAAAAGAGGAGACCCTACCCATCTACCTAGAGCTGCTGTTTCTTCAAGGACGGGGAGCAACTCCGTGTGAGCAACTTTCCTATTTGGCCAGGGAGTTATCTGATCTGATCTTGACAATTTCTCTTCTCTCTCTCACTCTCTCCCCTCTTTCTTCCTCCCTCCCTCGTTTCCTCCCTTCTTTCTTCCTTCTTTCAGGCCAGTAGGTAAGTGAAAAGAGGAAGGAAATGATGCAAAAGTAAATCTAACATTTCAGCTCTGAAAAAAAATAGACTCCTAAGAAGGCCCAGATTTTAAACCTGTTTACCAGCTAGTAGGGAGGCCTCTCAAAGAAACAGGAGTCTGACCCTTATCCTGCCCCATTCTTCCTTTCTCCTTTTCTATACGAAATGGGAAAAGCTAAGCGTCATAGGAGTTTCTCCACTTAGTGCAGTGAGAAGTTTTTCCTTGTACCCACCGGCTTTATTTCAGAGTGGATCTCTCCACTCAGCCAGTACCGCGCGTCTTTTCCTTAACCCCTTCCTGAGCAGCCAGTGGCAGCGACGGTGGCCCCCGCCCGCTTCGGTGGACAGTGCCCACCCAGGCAGGAGCCTCGGACGTCCGTCCGTCTGTTCCTAAAGCTAATTTATTGGCCCGACCCTCCATTATCCTTTTCGGCTTCCTAATTAATCAACGATAAAAGGCAATGACGCAAATTACGATTATGAGGGAACTGGAAGACAGTTTTGAATAAAATGGGAGAAGAGAGATATGATTAATTGAACTACATGATAGTGAAATCTCAAGCGCAAGAAACAGGCCCCAAGGGATCAAACTCTGAACTCATCCGTGTTGCAGGTGAGCCCCTCCGGTTGTCCTAGAGCCCTCGCAAGGGGACAGCCCCCAAATTAAGTCACATGGATCCGAAGGCTTCAGAAGAGACAGAACTGGGTTCCCACCCCAGCTCCCAACCACACTCTGCACCTGAGGCCCAGATACCCCTTCCTCCAACCCCCATCACTCGCTTTGCTGCCTCCCCTGTTGAATTTCCGGACTCCTGGACAGCGAGTCCACTCCACTTCAGGACCGTACTTTTATTGAAGTGCACCCTATTATTTCGCTAATGAGCCGCCGATCTCCTTGTTCCTGTCCTTGCACATTCCTCTAGTGAGGCTAACTCTTTGTGAAATTACAGGAAAACAAGTCTAGTAGGTCGGAGATCGCATTTGCTCCTGTAAGGGATTAATAAAGCTCTTGTCTGATGCTGCTTTTTAGAATTATGTTCGGGATTAAAAGACAGTCTCGACATAAGCACACATTTTGCATCCGCTGGTCGTTGTGATTAATGTTTCCGAGGGGATTTGGGCCGGGAGCTTACGGAAGGTGCTCTCTGGGTCTAAAACCCGACCACCTCTGCGCAGGGGCGAGCGGAGGGTCTGGGGACACTGGGGCACGCGCCGGAGCGCTGGGGGATTAGAGAGGGCATCAGATGGGCGCGGAGATGCCATCCATCTCGGCCTTTCAGCGTCTCTTCCCTCCCCTTCTCCACCCCCGGCGCAACTGCCTCGGAGGAAAACGGTGAAGACTGTACAGGGAGGCTGTCCTTCGGTTTTTGGGGAGAGAGAGAGAGGGAGAGAGAGAGAGAAAGAGAGAGAGAGAGAGACTGACTCTCGACTGTCCTGACTTTTTGGTGGGAGAAAGGGGCTCACTGCTTCAGGCAACCGTCTAGCAAGGGACATCCCCAGCTCTGCATTCCAGGGAATCGCTGCCCCAAATGCATAACTCACCCCCAAATCAAACAGTCGCAGTGCCCAGTCCCCGGAAAATAATGACTTCAACCTCTGAGAGCTGCCATTCTCAGGGCTGCTTTCGCCAGCACCCAGAGAGGCACCTATGGAGAGGAGCCGGAACCAGAGCCTGAGCGGGAAACTCGTCCATCCCCTCCACGCTACCTCCGGGCGGGCGACAAACCCTCCCCCAGACAGCGATCAGAAAGGAGAAGGAACAGTACTGGGGGGCAGCGGGGAGGGAAGGAGAAGGAAAAGAAAAGGGGCTGAGAGGAAGACAGAGAGAGGGAAGTGGGGGAGAAAGACAGAGAGGGAGGGAGGAGGAGGAGAGAGAGATGCAAAAAGGAAGCGAGAGAGGAGTACAGTGGAACCGAAGGGGGTCGCGGTGGGCATTACCGCTTTCCAGCGGAAGGGGGCACCTTTGCGGCCGTGGGCGCGATCCCCGGGGCGGGGGCGGGACGCCCGGCAGAGCCAGCCCTGCAGCTCCGGCCCTGGGGTGCTGGCGCCCCCTCCTGGCTGCTGCGCGGCCGCTCCCTGCGTCTCGCGGGTGCGCGGGTCCAGAAACTGTCCCGCCCCCCGCGCCGGGGAAGAAGCGGCAGAGGGGAGGAAGGTCAGAAGAGGGAGCGGGTTCGGTCCGGTGACCGCTCCTCCCTTCGCGCCCCACGCCTGCCCGCGGCTTCCTTACCTGGGGACTGCGGGGCTCCTTCCCTGCGAGCGCAGCTCCTGCGGGCCTCTCGGCGGCTGCGCTCGCACCCCAATCCGAGCCCTCCGAGGAGTCCGCCCGCCTCGCGAAATGGCCCCAGTCTTGCCGCAGCAGCTGGGAGGGAGGGAGCGACCGCCGGCTGCTGCCGGGCGGCGTCTGGGGGCTGCAAGCCGGGCGCAGGGAGTCGCCATCTGGAGCCTCGGCGGCGGGCGGGGGTGGGGGTGCAGGAGAAGGGGCCTGGCGGCTCGGCCCCGGGCTGGTGCGGGGCAGGGCTCTGGCGTGGGAGCGGCGCCCAGTCGCCCCAAGTACTTGCGTGTGTATCGCGGGAAGGGTGGCGTGGGGGTGTGTGTGAGGGGCACGGCCTCTGGGGAAGAGGGGCGGAGGCCTGCCCTCTTCAAGTCCCGCAGATTACAGGGCAGCCGGTACCCGCAGGTTTAGCGAAAGAGAGGGGACCCTCTTGGCAACCCCCAGCTCCTTCCAGCCATTCTCCCTCCGGGGATGGAGGGCTGGGCGAGGAGAGCCCAAACACTCCTACAGGCGCACGCACCCGCTGTCCGTCAGAAGTGGTTTGCTCATTTCCCTCTCCTCCCACCATGTCCATCCCACTCCAGGAAACATTCTTCCCCAAACGGCACAGAGTTTTGGACGCCTCCACCTTAAGACAGCTACTTCAGCCAGAACGTGGGACAGACTCTAACAGGATATCACCCTTGGGGATAAACACTCTCCAGTTTCCTGTGGACGGTGGAAGAGGAAAGAACAGGAGAAGCTGCCAAAGGGATGGGTTGTGGGAAGCTCATCCTTGCACATAAGAAGGGAATATTAGGGACGGGGGCGGGGTGGAGGTAGGAGGATGGGAAGTGTAGCTTTTCCTCCCTTTCTTCCTTTCATTTCTGATCCTATTAGTGTTTTTATTTCTTTAATTTTGAAAACTATTTCCCCTTCCTGAATCAGGATGCGGGCAGGGAGGGAACTCAAGGAAATGATGAATACGGAGGAGAGCCAGGAGACAGGGGATTTGTCCTGGACAGGGGATACTCTCCTGCTTCACCACTGTCTCTGAGAGAGATGCCCAGAGCCATAGGTTTTAGCCCAATGTAAAGGGAGCTGAATGGGTGTATGGGCGGTGGCGGGTGGTCTGAACAAGAAATAAAATAAAGGAAAGCCAGATCCACTCCCATCCCAAAGCGTTAAGACACCCTCCCCACCCCCAGCTGTCTTGTGTCCGGCAGAATGGCATTATGTAAAAGATCTGGCATGTCACCCCGTGGCACATCTGGTAGGTGTAGATGGCATTCATTAGCACGGGACTTCTACTCTGCAACATGCCAAAGCTCTGACAGAGATGCCCGCTGCCAATCATTCATTGGCTGCCAATCCCCGAGCGCGGCCGGGCGGGATGGCTTCCTTCCACCCTGGCACCAGGAGTGGAGGAAACAATGTGTTGAGATAGAAGAGATGAAAGTGGAGCTGAGGATGCGAGGCACCCAACAGATGTATCCCATGAGGAGATAACGGTGTTAAGAGTCATTTAACAAGAAAGCATATGCATGATCTCAGGAGGGAGGCTTGGGCAGGGGGTCTGCTTGCCTAGGGCTGAGCTGAAGGAAAGGCAGGGGAGCCCTTTTAGAAACCTGAAAGTTGAAGTTGCTTCTCTAAAAACACACAAAGACTAAAACCTCAACCGTCCCCCACCCCTTCATTTGTCACTTGTATCTCTTTTTGTCTAGAAACGTAACTACCTCTGCAAAGGTCAACTTTTGCAATATTTTTTCTGAGGACCAAGATAAAGAGCACCTTCCTGTTTTAGATGTTGCATCATTCTCACAGACTAGTAATTTAGGGGCTAAGGGAAGGAAGATTGTCAGACTATCTTCAGTACATTTTAAAGTGCAAAGGTGTTATTTCCATTCTTAGCTTTACAGAGGGGATAAAGATGAACAAAGGAAAGCAAGGAAATTATTAACATGGCAAAGGAAGATTAAACACAAAATCCAGGATAGAGATTGCTTCTGAGGTTGTTCTTTTTCTTAGGCTGGGTGGCAGTTAACACAGTATTCAGCGTATTGTTTTTCTTTATGCCATGGCCATAGTTTACATTCCTTTTCTCCATTCACAATTTAATAAAGCAACAACAAAACTCAGGGTTTTGACAGTTTGTGGAACTCAGTGTTTAGGTTGACTTTAGCTTAAGCTCTTTAGGTTATATATATGTTTATGTGTCTTATTCAATTATCATACTCTTTTTGGCATAGGTTATAAAATATTTGGGATATATACTATGAATTTATTTATGGTTTATATAAAATTGAAACTTTAGCTGGCCATTCCATATATTTATTTGCTAAATCTAGCAACGCTGGGCATGTTGGCTTATGGTGACAATATAGCTGCCAGAATTCCAAGCATCAAACCATTGTTTTAAACATGAAGAAAGGAACAGGGGCAAGGAGCTGTGGTTGTTTGCTTTAATCAATGAAATGAATACTTTCACTTTTCATTAGGCAGACCTGAATCACCTGGCCACTCTTTCTGCAAAAAGAGTCAGGGAAAATTAGCCTTTAAAGTTTAAAAAGATAGGGATAAGGGACTGGGAATAGTTGTTGGGCTGCAATCAAGGGTGTCTGACAAAGAAATCAAAGATCAAAGAAGAAATAATGTTAACATCAAATAAGAGTATAGCTTATCAAGCTTTGTCATTGTTTTAAATAAAATTTTCTGTTTTCATTATAGTCATTAAAGGGATACTGTTCTTGAGCTTAGCAGTTTCTTTGTGAATTTTATCAAATATTTCAAAATAAGGGCTTGGTCTTAATATGTTCAGAAGACAGCTGATGTAAAATTTATCTTAAATTTAGATGAAATTAGTATTTGCATTAGTAGTATAATTAGAATATACTTATAAATTTAAGTGAAACAAAGAAAATGACTCAGTGTTAGAAGGACCAAGAATTGAATTCCCATTCTACAACTCATTGGGTGTGTGACTTTGGGTATTTTATTTATCTAAGTAATATTTCCCCGTTTGTAAAATGGGTTAATGTTGATGCCTTGGAGGTTTATCATGAGGCTTAGATGATACACATAGAAGGTTTTAAAATATGGCAATTCTCAGAGACCCAACAGGAAACAGAATTCAGCCCAAATGAATCATATTAAGAGGTGAGTAGTCTCCCTGTATCTGTGGTTCTGCCTTCTGTAGTTGGAAAATAGGTGAATACAGCATTGATAAGATATTCTGAGAGAGAAAGGAAGGCCACGTTTATATAACTTTTATTATAGTATGTGATGCTTAATACTGAGTTTCAACTTGATTGGATGGAAGGATACAAAGTATTAATCCTGGGTGTGTCTGTGAGGTGTTGCCAAAGGCGATTAACATTTGAGTCAGCGGACTGGGGAAGGCAGAACCACCGTTAATCTGGTGGGTACAATCTAATCAGCTGCCAACAAATATAGAGCAGGCAGAAAAACGTGAAAAGGATACTGGCTGAGCCTCCCAGTCTGCATCTTTCTGTTGTGCTGGATGATTCCTACCCTTGAACATCAGTCTCCAAGTTCTTCAGTTTTGGGACTTGGACTGGCTCTCTGTCAGCTTGTAGACAGCCTATTATGGGACCTTGTGTGTGTGTAATTTAATACTTAATAAACTCCCACACACACACACACACACACACACACACACTATATATATATATATATATATATATGTATATATATATATATATATATGAGAGGCAAGGAGTTTAGTGACTCTATACATAATACCTCTGACCATATCACCATATGTGGAGAACCAAGGAATGTAATGAAGCTGGTTGGTTGCTCCTAAGTTCAGTGGACAAAATGATGAACTCAGGGATTCTGTCTCCTGGGTTCAGAATCAGATACTGAACCTCACATCTGCTAAGATTGCACTAAGTGAGAGTCTTATCTCCTGTAGAGAAAGAGCTGAAATTGTGAAAACACAGACACAAGCTCTTATCATGCGAGTGGCTGACCTGCAATGAAAGATGCATGCACAGCCTCACCAGCTGTCTACTGTTAAATTGAGTGCATTGATTGGAAAATAATGGGACCCTGCAGCTTAAAATGGGGATGTGTGGGAGGACCCTGATAAAGCTCGGGACACTGAGTTTGTAAACTCTGATGAACCATTTTTTTTTGCCAGAAGAAACAGCTTCCCCCTCCCCAGCAGTGGCAACATCCTTTCCTTAGCCCAGCCCGTGAAGCCATCAGCCTTTCCAACTTTGTCTGAGGAGACAGACCTGTGCTGCCTGAGGCAACAGTGATGGCCTCCCAAGGCAGTTACCGGGCAAGATAATGTTGATTCTCCTCAGGAGCCACTCCCAGCTCTTCTATTTTCTTCTAGGCCTATAACTAGACTGAAGTCCTGGCAGGACCCTAGAGGTGAGATTGAGAGTGTGACCCATGAGGAGGGACTACACTCAAAAGAACTGTTTGAGTTCTCTAATTTATATAAACAGAAATCTGGAGAACAGGCATGGACCTTAAGGGTCTAGGATAGTGGTGGAAGAAACATGGAGTTGGATCAGGCTAAATTCATTGATTTGGGCTTACTAAGTAGGGACTCTGCATTTAATATTGCAGCTTGGGGACTTTAAAAAGGTTCTAATAGTTTATTTGCTTGGTTAGCTGAAATATGGATTAAAAGATAGCCAACTGTGAGCAAGCTGGAAATGCCTGATCTCCCTAGGTTTAATGTAGAGAAAATAATCTAAAGGCTTATGGAGATTGAGATTGTGCAGTAGATTAGTCACTTTAGACCTCCTCATTCCAGCCAGGAGAGTCCAGAAGATATACCCTTGACCAATGCCTGGTGAAATAGAATTGTGAGGGCATTACCTACATCTTTGATGAGCCCAGTAATTGCTCTTGTCTATATGTCAGATCTAATGTGAGAACTGCAGTAACTCAACTACAAAATTTAAATACAATGGGAATAATTGGATCCCACGGTGGCAGGGGCCAAGTGGTGGCACTCAACTCTCAAAGGCAAGGTGGGCATAGCTACTGTAATGGAGAGCAGAGGCAAAGTGGCAATCAGAATAGTCTGACTCATGTAGAGCTCTGAGCTAATCACAGTTTTCCCAGAAGTGAAATTGACAGGAAGCCTACTATATTCCTACTTAATTTATATAAGTGGAAAACTTCTAGGTCAAATGAACATAAGACTAATTTGAGTTATAAAAACAGAAAATCATGGCCCTTCAATCAATTTCCAGACTTGAGCCAGTTTACTGACACAGAACCCCTTGAATGAAAAGGAGGCCAGGTCATCTTGAAGAAGGACCCCACTGCATTACCAACAATTTATGCAGTGAATCTTTCCTTCATCCTTCCCCAAGGAGACCTCCTGCCTTTTTCCAGGATAACTGTACATTGGGGAAAGAGCAATGATCAGACACAGATAAACGAGGGGTTTATAGAAGTCAGGAAATTAATGGAGTTTTAGCTCAGGTCTGACTTACAATGGGTCCAGTGCGTCCCCAGACTCATACTGTGGTAATTTCCCCAGTGCCAAAATGCATAATTGGCATAAACACACTTAGTAGCCGGCAGAACCCCCACACTGGCTCCCTGACTGGTAGGGTGAGGACTGTTATGGTGGGAAAGGCCAAATGGAAGCCTTTAGAGGCTGCCACTACCTAGCAAAGTAGTAAACCAAAAACAATATTGCAACCCTGGAGGGACTGCAGAGATTAGTGCCACCATCAAGGACTTGAAAGACCTGGGGTTGGTGATTCCCACCACATCCCCATTCAACCCTCACATTTGG